AAAAAAAATGTTATCAGTACTGAGGAAATCTTATTAGATTGAACCCTATTTTAAACAGCTAGGACCAAAATCTTCATTCAGACACACTGGTGCCACCCCATTAAATTCCAGCAGTGGCACCACTGGTAGAGAAAGAATGGCATTCAGATTTTTCACCATTAAGTAATCTGTTTTCATTACCTTCTCAGCAGTTTGTTTCATTTGCCTGCAGTAGGCAGACTAAAATTAGAAAACATTTCATGTTCATAGTTAGTTTGTTTCAATGTGAAAAAAACAAGACCATAAATTTGTCTATTCGGTTATGCCTTGTGCAGTTCTCTTGTAAAGTTGTCTTTACATTATAGTGATGAACTGTAAATGGCGTAGTTCATTATTTTGTCCAAAGTAATTCAAATTAATGATCCTAGAAATATTATTTGAGGTGTCCGTGTTATAAAGCATTGCCAATAGTCATGAATATTACCAGCAGAATTTCTATTCTCGTTTGTAATGTATGCATTGCCATGTGTTAATAAACAATTTTATGATCATCTTCAGAACTTGCTGTCTCTTGCTGGAGTTCCACATGTCAATCTTGTATCAGTTGTGGTAGCAAACAAATGTCAGGTAAATGCTGATAGCAAACTATCAAAAGTCTGAATGCATTGTTCTTGCCTTGACTTGCATACTTAAATTTTCATTTCACATTTGCTAAAGTAATACCGATTCTGACTGAATATAAGAAAAAAAAAAAAGAGTAAGTCAAAGTGTGGTGATCTCACAGGCTCTTCAGCTTGTAACTGTGAGAATAATATTAGATTAGAAAGTCTAAATTACTTCTTAGTTTCATTTACATGAAACTTTAAAAAAGGAGGTAAAAAAATGTATAACACTTCTGGTTTAGATAAATGTTACTCTGGATGCTAAAAACATATTTGCTTCTCATGAATGGAAGTGTATTTTCTTTGCATTCTACTGGCTCATGTCATTCTTGCTAAGAAAGCACTAAGCTTTGCCAACCATAGATACTAATATTTTCAAATGAATAAAAATACCCCGAAGTTCATCATCAGCTGGATGGCACCAGAATTAACACACGTTTGGGAAACATGCCATCACAGTGGTATCCAGAGGCACTCTTAAGAATCTTAGAGATCAGAGGAGGAGATGAAATTATTTGAGCTTCATATGAACGTCTTATGAATAAATACTGATACGAAGACCACCTCCAGGGAAAAGCAGATGGATCATGAAATCAGAAAAGCATTAAGGTAACCAACTTCTGGACTTCAAAAAGAGAGGTCTGAAGAGTAAGCTTTTCTGTGAAGTAACATAAAAAAAACTCTACTATGGCAATGATGCAAGTGAACCTCTATTTTTTTGAGTTCTCAGACCTGCTGTGCTTCACTTTAAGCTGGAGAAGTTTTCTAGATCATACAATTGCTTTCATAAGGTGGCCAACGAGTAGAAATAATAACTGTGTGCACTTGCACATATCTGGGTTTTTTAAAAAGATTCATTTTCTGTTCTAAATACCTTTTAAAAATTCCTGTAATAACTTTTCAACCTTTCTTTCTGACAAAGTATTACAGTCCAATCAGCACCAAACATACATTTGCTTAGTTTTAAAGGTCATTCAATAGTCACACACCAAACTATCTTTAAGGGTAAAGCAGAGTTTGAAAACATCTGAAATGTATTTCCTCAGATGACATTTGCCTAGAAATGCTATGCAAAATTATTCTTTTAATATCAGGCACACCCTTCTAATTTCTTAGAGGCAGTTAGATATTTTACACTCATAGGGAACTTTCCTCACTGCAGACAAATAACATAAATCCTACTTACTGGCTATACTAAAAATACAACCAAAGGAAATACACTGCAACTTGCTGCAGAGTGTGTGTTCATGTGCCAAAACTATGGAAACCTGTAACTCTTTCTGTCCTAGGTGGGCAGAGTTGATTTCAGCTTTGATCACCCTGCTGCGTATCAGGATCATTGATAAGGAGGTGCAGAATAATCTGACAGTGGCAGGCAAAATGCTGTATTGTAAAAATAAGAGACAAATCTCTGTCTGTGGCTCACTAACAAGACACACAGGCCAGGCCTACACTGATCATAAACAACCTGCCACAAACTGGAAGGCAGCAGCTCTATCTATCTTAGCCAACACATAGCAGAGAATCAGCCTTTTTAAGGTAACATGGCATCAGTTTGAGCAAAATTACATGGCACGGTGTTAATGAAGAACCTCAATTTGGGATTTAGTTGTTTCATAAAAGTTAATAGCCAAAGATGAACATTAGAAGCTAAAATAATAAAAATCTAAACTGCAATCATTTCTTCATGCTGTCTACAGGGAATACCATCTTTCACTTCATGAAGAAAGCAGTAGAAGATGGTTTCAAAGAAGCTTTAAAGATGCTTGAGTATTTTAATATAGATGGAATATTGCCAAGCTGTGAAACAGTCGTCTTTCAGAAATAGTACACTACAAAAATGCAAAGAAACGTACTGGATACTGAGAGACCACTAGTGAGCAACTATAAACTAAGGCCAAGCACGTACTTTCATTTTGTATGGAACAAATAGTTCCTCTGCCCCCAAGGAAAACTCAGAATAGAAAAAGGTAAGCAAGAACTTAAGGCCTTGCAGGTCTGGAATTTTTTGAAATAATGAAAAAAGGAACCAGGGATTAACAAAGTGCATTTATAAGTTTAAAAACAACCAAACCAACCAAACAAATAAATACTCCCCTCCCCCAAACTACTAAGGAAATAGTAACAGATCACTAGAATAGTTTATCGACCCATAAGTTAATTTTAAAATATCAAAAAATGTGGAACTTTTCTTTTAGGGATTTGAAGAACACACAATGTCATACTACCAATAATGTTGACGAATTTTGATGCTTCTAGAACCCAAAGCTGAAGATATAAGCAAGTGCTGAATTTCTGCCCACAGAATAACTTAATACAGACTAACTGTAAGTACTGCAGTGAGAAATTAGTCCCATGGAACCAAAAAACAGTAGTATTTTTTTATGAAAATAATGTTATTGGACAAGCTGCTAAGTCACACAAAACATGCAGCATTCTTCCTTTGACCCAGTTTCTTTTTGGAAATTATGTAACCTTTCAAAATTACTATTTCAAGCATTAGAGAAAGAAACAAAATTTTTAGGACATTTATTAGTTTTAAGTTAGGCAGGTAATGGTGACTGTTGTCTATTACCACTTAAAATAGGACAAAAGGAAGTATTGCAACAGAACCATCTAATTCCCCAAAATATTTGGATTTGGATAGCAACCACAGTCCCCAAGAACACTAAAAGACTTTGCCCACCACTGTAAATATCATCTCGGTCATAACATTTATTTTCTTCTTCAGACTCCATGAGACCCTCTCAAACAAGTGAAAGTGAAAACTTCAAGTAAATCCACCATTTTGGTACATAATGAAGATGATCTGAACTGCTACCAAGTAAACCACATACAATTGCATGCAGGATTTTTCCACATAAAATATGAAATCTCTGCAAATACTGTTAATTTGCTGTCAATTACTACAGAATAGTTTTTCTTCTGATCCTGCTCAGTTTATTCTAATATATGTTTTAGCCATGGTTATCTGCATTCTCAAGAGTCTACATTTAAGCAGACTGAAATGTATCAAGACAGGAACAGCTGTACTGTCAGATAGTCCAGAATGATATCCCTTACCCAAGGAAATAACAGATGCTCACAGAAAAGCACAAAGAAGAGCCTACTGCTAGTTACAGACTTGCAAGACCTAGCCAAGCACTGAAATAAGAGAATTCACCCTTGCTAAAAGGTGTTTTTGTTCTTACATGAAAATCTAATTATTTTTCAAATCCTGTACTCTGCCCTGCTTAGTGTGTGCTTCCTTTCCTAAAAAGTGTGATCCACAGGGAATCTTGAATATGTTCCTACAACTTTATTTTTTCCAGTGTTCAAGATTGTCTTCTTAACAAACTGCTTATGACTTTATGTCGTGGTTTAAGCCCAGCCAGTAACTCGGAACCACGCAGCCACTCGTTCACTCTCTCCCCTTCTTCCTCCCCCCGCTCCCAGAGGGATGGGGAGGAGAATCGGAGGAATGTAACTCCCACGGGTTGAGAGAAGAGCAGTCCAGTAACTAAGTAACAAACCACTACTGCTACCAATAATAATGATAAGGGAAATAACAAGGGAAGAGGATACAATTGCTCACCACCCGCCAACCGATACCCAGCCCGACCCGATCAGTGATCTGGGCCTTCCGGGTAACTCCCCCGTTTATATACTGGGCATGATGTGCTGTGGTATGGAATACCCCTTTGGCCAGTTTGTCTCCTGTCTCTGCTTCCTCCCAGCTCCTTGTGCCCCTCCTCTGTGGCAGAGCATGAGACTGAGAAAGTCCTTGGTCAGAATAATGAACATTACTTAGCAACAACTAAAAACATCACTGTTATCAGTGTTGTTCCCAGGCTGAAAGTCAAAACCACAGCACTGCACCAGCTACTAAGAAGGAGAAAAAATGACTGCTGTAGCTGAACCCAGGACACTTTAAAAAACCAACCAACCAAAAAAAAAAACCCTTAAGAAACTACATCTTTTGCACAGCTTGGTGCTTCCCCCTCCCCGCCCTCTTCCTCCTTCCCTCCAGCAACATATGGCAACATTTGTTGCCTCCCTGATGGACAATGACTTGTTAGCATTGACTTTTCTGCTACCAAAACTTCTTAAAGTGTCAAGTAGAAAAGCTCAGGTACAATTAAAAAAATACACATACACACACACACACACACACAAATACACACTTTCAAGTTCTTGCAGATTGGTGTACTGCATGAACATGCAATTACTTCTCTGAAGTCAACAGCGTAGAAAGCCCATCAAGACAACTCTGCTTTCTTGTTCAGGAAACATAAATTAGCTTTTGCTTACTATTTGATCATACCAACAGTTAACAGGAGGATATTCTCATTTTGCAGAGTAAAGAGCAGACACTTCAAGTTTCAGGTGTTTATTAGGCCTCATCAAAAACTTTCAAACACATGATCAAGTGCAGTGCGAGGCAAGTTTGATTATTTCCTGGATGATTAAGCATGACAATTGTGCGGATGACTTTTGGAAGACCTTTCTGTGCAGCTTATGGAGATGAGTGTGCTCTTCAGAAGTCAGGACGGTCCTTTTTCAGTCTACTGTAGTCTACGTTAACGGAGTAGAACTAGGAAAGAGGAGAAAAAATGAGTATCCATTTTCCATGGTATTTATTAAAAACATACATAATTTGAACTCACGTCAGGAAGCTGAATATGATAGTTTGAGTCTGTGCACTAGACAAAAATAAATAAAACCTTTGAAGACCAGTAACATTTTCATATTGTCTTCATTCTGCATACAGTACTAGAAGCTCTGCATTTAAAATGAGGCAGTGTTTGTGTCTACAACTAGAGAAAATCCTGACTATCTCTTGTTTAAACCCAAGAATTAAAAGTCCATTCACAGGAAGTTCTTACAGTACTGCTGAATTTATCCTTTTTGCCCCAAATCTATGTGCTCCTATATACTGAGGCACTATGTTGCTTGCCAAGTGGCACAAAGCATGGTGTACATGATGAGGTCACAAGCAAACATTTTAGAGGAGCACTGCAAAAGGCAAGCTTGGTTTAAGTATCTGCATCCAGAACTGTAAGGTATGACAAAGAGTAAGGAAAGCAAGAACAGATTCTTTCACATTCTCAGTTCCTAATAAAGTTGGACCCCATTACAAGTAATTCAAAAGAGCCCAAACAGTCACTGACGACAAAGAGTTTCCCGACTAAAAGCATATTTTGGCATTCCAGACCGACTTGACATCAATCATGTGATGCTATGGCTTTTCTTTAAAAAGTACGCAATATTTACTTATCAGCTTGGTTATTTTTAGTTATGACCAAATTTGATATTTTTTTTTTATTTCCTCAGAGAAAACAAAACAGCCTCCAGCACATTCAAATTAAACCTTTTTGTGAAACTCCTACAGTAATGATCAGATTTTCAACTCTTTGTTTTGGGAAGACTGAGGAAGTTTACGCAACAGAGAGCAGTTTACAAAAGAAAAAACGATTGCACCAAGCACTAAAACTTATTATATCAGAGCTTTTTACTCAACAGTCATCCTCAATTTAAGGGTATCTATCTGCCTTTCCATTTCCCACAGTGCAGATCTGGAAGAAAAAAAATCCTCAACGATACACACACACCCAAATATGGTAAACCCCGAGGTTGTGTTTGCATGCTGAGAGAATGGGAGTGCTACACAAGGCATGCACTCTCTAAAAGAATTTGTGCTGGCCTCTGAGTTGAACTGGTGTTTTTTAGGTATTTAAGAAACAGTAACATTCCAGAAACAGCAATGAAAACAAAGTATCATGTTCTCCTGAACCTTTAAGGGAGTCACAACATATTTTATTTTGGAGTATGGGGTTTTTTTGCTTATTTCAGCAGTTGGAATGGTAAGGTATGGCACTGAACAGACACTAGCTTTGAAGACATTGTAGGTTTACTTTTTTAATAGCTTAAAGATAATCTTCAACTATTCTTAACAGGAATCTAATAAACTAGCACTTCAGTAAAACAAAAAAAACATAATTTCTATGACCTACCAAATGTTTTACACATCTTTGCATGCTTTCTCATTAATTCATGGAAATAACTTGAATATTACTTAAAGGACATTGCTATTGCATCCAGTTACTTACAAACAACTGTTTTGTTTTCAAACAATCAACTGTAGAACTAAATTAGTGTTTATGTTAAACACTGACATTTTCCTGCTGTGCTTCTCATTAGTAAAGGCCAATAGTTCATAGTTTAGAAAGCTTTAGTTCAGAACTTACACGGTTTTGTCATTCTTCCTGTAGTTTATTTCTGAGTATTATGAGCTGGTATATTCTTCCTCTCGCATATGATTCTTTTCTTACAGTGCAATATATGACTGCTTCCATACAGAATTCTTTCGCCCCATTACCAACCAACTCAAAAAAAATTTTAGTTCTCAACTCAGCTCTCTCTGCTCAAGAGTTCTAAAGACAAGCAAACATTGCACAGTAGAGGAAATACATCACTCATTCAGCTGTTTCCCAATACACACAAACAACCTTAAAGAAGTGTTTTTATGTTTACCTTGTACTGGTCACTGGGAGACAGCTTATTCCAAGGTTCTGGATTATTTGTCTTGTCCCAGCTATTGAGAAATGTAACATAAGAGAACATATTAAGAAAAATCAAACTACCTTCAAAATAAATATAATTTGTATGAATACTGTAGTTATGGAGAGTCATCCATCCAAGTAAGTTTACACAGAAAAAGACACAGTCCTTTGTTAGCAGTCTCTAAATATCATATGACAAACAAACAAATCTTCAGATCAAGGAAATGTGCTCACACTTAGTGCCAATGATATTGGAGCAAGACATTAAGGCCTCCAGAAACATAAAGATCAAGGCAGTGAAATTTAATATATGCAGCAAGTGGTCTGAGCACTGTGAATTATTTTATACATACCAGACATCAGGGTTGAACATTGCCAAACGCATGAGATACAGGCCTGCGCCAACGCCTCCAGATCCAATGATCAAAAACAGAGGGATCAACTAGAAGAAAAGACCAAAAATGCTATACCAAAATATAACAAATAGTATTATTACACAGCATTTCCAACTAGCCCAGTGACAAACTAAAGAACAAGCTCACACACTCTGGAGCCGTAACGCACAGCTCTCTAAACCCAACATAAGCTCCCTATGTGCAGGACATGCCTGGAGTCAGAGAGGGACTAGCAGCTACGAAGAGGAAGACACGAAAATCATACTGCTACACGCAGAACAACCAAACGTCCTGTAACAGCAGATTTCTGAGACACGCACAGTAGTCACTCCAACCGCCCAAACCAGCCCCTACTATTGTACCCGTGATCATAAAGAAAACGCGAGTGGGGCCGTAAAGAAGCGAGCAGGAACCACCTTGACCGTCACTGCTGCATCACGAGAAGAGCCCACATATACTCCAGGAAAAGGGGGACCTGGCGGTGTGTCGCCGGCCGGCCCTGAGCTATTCCCAAGCCG